AAAGAGAGAGAGAGAGAGAGAGAGAGAGAGAGAGAGAGAGAGAGAGAGAGAGAGTTTGTTTCTATTAGGACCTTTCCTTTACCAAAGGGGAAGGTCAACCTTGTCCTTGAACTCATGCTATGTTTCTGACATGCAAAACAAGCATAAGACCCATGGCCTCCCCCCTGGAAACAGAAACCGAGAAAGAGAGAACTGTTTATTCTCTTTCTGCAACTGATAAGCAAGCTCCAAGTGTCCCACAACAGCAGAGAAAAGCTGCACATCTGCATCCCTGCCTCCAGCCCTGAGCTGGATGGGTGTGGGAGACGCACGTCAGCCTGCCTGGCTTTAGCCCCTGACGGGAGTTCCAAGGCCACAGGGCACTCATGAGCCTCCCCGTGTCCTATCTCTTTCCCTCATGGCTCTGCACTCAGGTCCAGCAAATGCACAACCAAACAAATCCCGATTTCAGAACTTCGAGGAGGAAGAGCTCTAGCTCTATGTTCCAAGAAACCCTGGATTTATTGTCACTGGAACCTGGCTCTTGTCAAATCATGGGCAGGACAGACGGCGCAATTATTACAAATAGTCCCGCTGATGGAAGACTTCTGGAATGCCTCACTGCTGGAGGAACACCCTCTGCCTGGCCTACCCCTCATCCATGGATGCTGTCACTGGATCTGAAAGGGCAGCTGCTGCTGTAACGGACGAGAGAGCACTGCGCCAGGCCCACACAACATGTGGCCCACCAACCAGCCCTGTGCGGCCCACTGGCACTTTTAAGTAATACATTCGCTGCTGCTGCTGCCACCGCCCCCCAAAAAGTGCTGCCAAGCACCTTTAGGTCTCACTGCCACTGCCAGGTCCAGTGTTGTTACCACTCCACTAGCCACGGAACACGGTGCGCCAGGCATTCCTTTGCGCCTGCAAGGGTTTTTAATTTATCCATGCACCCCACCCCCCCACAAGCTGCACAGGCCTGCATCACTCTCGAGCTTCTGCTTCAGCGGTAGGGAGGCTGAGACAAACCATGTGTATTTCTAAACTGCTTCCCCCATCCCAAGTAAAAGCACCGAGGCAGGTCCTACCTTGGTCAAACTGCCGCTGTAAACTTTCCATCTCAGATTTGTTTCCACTCACTCGGTAGATCCCTTCAGTACTCAACCCTGGTGGGGATGGGAGGAGGAGGAGAGAAAAAGATTACAACAGAGTAAATGTGCAAATCTGAAGGTAACATTGCTAGGAAAGAGATGGCTTATGGAAGAGCGAGCGAGCATAGAAGCCTTCTACCTGGATAATGGGGGCATAGATAGGCAAGTCACAATATTGAAGAAAATGTGATTTTGTATTTAATTCCCACTGCATTCCTCTTTCAAAGTATCAAAGGGAATGAGGATAAGCATTAGTGGCCCTTAGTTTCTTCCAGTCTACTAAACCTCTCTTTTAAATTGCTAAAAGGCAGAAAGAGCTCTAGAACAAATATACCAGCAGAGGAGATTATAATTAGAAAAACAAATTGAACTAGAACTGTGATAAACAACCTTCTGCCTTTCTGCATTGCATATATCCATGTAGCTGTAACCGTTTATATTATACTTTTGTGATGGACTTTAATTGCTCCAAGATGCTTTGGGGGGGTAATGATAGCTAAAAGTACAATTACTAGAACCCTGCATTAACCTCCCGCCCCTGCAGAAATGTGTTGAAATTATATTTCCTAATTACAAAGAACTATAAATGACCTGCAATGAAAAGCTAAGGCATTTTGCAATTTTTTTTGGGGGGGGGAGATAAGTGAACCACCTCATCACTGTACATATCAAGAACTGGGAGTCATACACACCACAGATGCTAAAAATACAAGTCTGCCAACTCCTTTAAGAAAGAGTGCCTCTGTGATTATATACTTTGAGAGCTACAAATGCATTCTCCTCCCAAAGAAAGAAGCCAACCAACCTGACTCTAGTTCAAATCTTGCCTACGCCATAATCTCATCTGGTCCTTTACAAACACTCTCTTTCTCTCTGTTTTCTCTTTGTTTCAGTCTACCTTACTGGGTTGACATAAAGATTACAAGCGCATATGAGAAAGACCAAAACATGCGTCACAGCATGCCTGGTTACTTTAAAGTTCAAAAAGGTATAATGGTTATTTCTTTTAAACAAACTGTTTGAAGTCACTGGCTAAAACTGGCATTTAAACCTGCAAGTCAACATAAAGCAAAGAAACAGTAGAAGAACAGCAATTATCCTTCTTGGTAACTGCAGGAAGGTCTTCTTCAGGGAATCTGTAAATTGGGGAGGAGTTCAGGGTCTCAGATCAGCCACAGCTTGAATTGCTGCTTTCCTAAGTCCATTCAGGAGAGGGAAATGCAAAAGGCTGCCTGCCTACCAGTTCAGGGATACATTAAAAATAGGTGAATCTGCAGGATTTATTCAGAGTGCAGAACTGCATGGCTTAAAAACTCTAATCGCTACCAAAGCTGTCTGGACAGGAACCTTCTTTCACAAAAAGCAATTCACTTCATCAGGAAGAGAAGCCGGGTTAATGGACCAACCCAGAAGGCCACGTAATTCCAAGCCTGGAACAACACAAAAGTCAGTGTGCCCACACGCTTGCGGGTGGAGAAGGGAGGACAGCAGTGCTGCTGCTGCCACCGTTGATCCCACTGCCTGATGTCCAAACAAACTTCTCCAAGGATAACACAAGCACCCTCGATGTATCTGTCCTATTTTGTTCAAAGACAGCTCTGTTCGTAAGGTAAGGTGGGGTCCTGAGACAGTAAGTTTGGGGCATTACGAAGGTGGGGGGGAGGGAGAGAGAGAGCACATACTGACTGCCATCCAGCCCTGTCATTTACACGAGGCCTCCACAGGACAGCTTCCAGCAGATTTCCACCAGCTGAGTATTTTCTGCCTGAAGCTGCACTGCAGAAAACCTCAAGAATGATGCTCCCTTTTAGTTAACAAGGCTGGATTGGCCACAGGATGTTCAGCTCTTCTCCTCTGCCCTCTCACAGTCCCGGCCTGGAGGCACCTGCTGTTCATCTGCTGCCCTGCAGTCTCTTCTCATTACAGCATCTCGGAACACACCTTTTCTGCACATCAGTGCCAAATGTAGCTGGCGAACCAACTGTCTACAACCTGCTCCGTTTTCATACAGACAGGACATCAAAAGGCCCACGTATAAGCCAACAGGACACAAAAGGAACCAAGCAGGCCACTTGAAGGGCCACAAGAACATCTCTGGCATAGGCCTGAAGCTCTGATTCAAGCTCTGTGCTTTGGTTCACAAGCTGGACCCCAGCGCTCCTTGCCGCAGCACAAAGGAACCCTCATTTCTGTGGCAGGATTATGGGTGTCATAGAACTATGCAATTTATCCCTGGCTGATACGCAACATACCCACCCGTGTAAGGAATTAAAGTGAGACAGGAGTTTTGTTAGAGACCAGATTATACAAAGCTATACACAGCAAATAAAGCACACCTTGGAACAGCCCTACTTGTCAGTGGCTTCACTGTAGCCAGCAATTAATTTGTGGAACTCACAGGGATCTTACAGACACCCAGAAGAAACAAGAATGCTCCTCAGGGTCCAAGCCAGGAGCAGCTTCCCAATCCTACAGTCAACCGCAAAAGCCATTCAACTTCACTGCAGTGAAAAAGCAATGTTTAGTAATATTTCCTGCAATCCACTTCCATGTTTATGTTATAAAATCCTGTTTTACACCCAATCCTTGTCACACAGAGAACTAGGCAGGCGTTGTGTACTGAGAACAGTAGGTGAGTTATTATAATAGACTAGTTTTGTGCCAAAAGCAAGCCTCTTTGTTGACAGATACACACAAATCTAATTCAGAAGCAGACAAATACAGGCAACTGCAGCTCATGATCCATTCACTAGAGATCCAAAATACTTATTATGCAGAAAATCTGGAGTGTAACTTACCAGCCTTTAATTTTTACTTAAAATTGCTCCCTGTAAAATTTCCCTTCCCACTATAGCAGGGTTGCTCAACCTTGGCAACTTTCAGACGTGTGGACTTCAACTCCCAGAGTTCCCCAACCAGCATATGCTGGCTGAGGAATTCTGGGAGTTGAAGTCCACACGTCTGAAAGTTGCCAAGGTTGAGCAACCCTGCACTACAGGGACAAAGCAGCATTGGGGCCAGGGAGGAGGATTAACCCCTTTCCTTCCCTAGCATCATACCCATTTTAGAGCCCCATCACTGTCACACATCATTTTTTAAGGCAACGTTCTTTGAACTTTACACTTTGTTTAGGTAATATTTGGGTACACCATTTTCAGTAAGGCAAACTAGGATTCTATGAAGCAAGGGAACTGAAGGGAATCTTGGCAAAATACAGGCATTCTTACAAGTGTGCAAATTCCTAGTGTCTTCCTACACAAACCCATATGCTCCATTCATCCAACATGCCCAGAGCAAAGCTAAAATAGGACAGCTAATCTGCTTCCGTTGTGAAAGGAGCAGACATAATGCGCCTTGGAACTAACTGCTTTCCTTTTTCCCATTGCCCTTTATTCAACAGAGAAACCCATAGTGTCCAATCAAGTTACTCCAGCAAACTCAGTTGTTTCTAGAATGGGACAACTGTGAAAACTTGAACATTATGCAACGCCACCCTGATTCTTTCTGAAGGGAGCAAAGAGCCTCCAAATATAGCTGCTGGAT